CCAATTCTCCTGCCAATTTTCTGTCCACCTTGTGGTCCACTTATCCGGCCTGTACTTCCTTAGCTTGCCTGTGACAACGTTGTGGGAAACTGCTTCAAAAGTCTTGCTAAATTCAAGGTATATCACATCTACCTGTCTCCCCGCATCCACAGAGCCAGCATACACATATATTTGCACATAGATTACCACACACTGTTAATATTTTACTTCTTCCTGCCCCCTTGATTTTGTTGGTAACAGATAGGAGTAGCAAAATTTCAACTTGGGCAGGCCTGCTTGAGGTGGCTTGCAGTTATGGTCTCTTCTGGTCTGTATGATCAGAAGATAATACCCACCTCTCTCAAATCCTTCTGTTGGAGTTAAACACGAAGCATGCCCTTGAAGGTATGAGAAGCTCGTACCAGCCCCAGACAGTTTGGTGAGCACGAAGGTCAAGCCCAGGCCTGAAGGCCTCTGGATCCCAACAGAAGGGACTGCAAAAGGCAGAAGAAGGAGGGGTCTTGGAATAGACATCTGTTTGAATTTAATGGCCTGTCGACATGCAGGTGGAAAACCCACAGCTCTTCTAACACGCAGTCTGTGGAGTGCCCGAATTGAAACTACAGGTCAAGAGAAGACTAGGCAGATGAAAATGAGAGGGGTGTAATCAAAATAGAACCAAGGCAAATGGGAAAAAAAAACATGGACTTGTCCCTTCACCCAAGTTTTATTTGATTATCTTTTGAGCAACTATTCCACAGGCAGTTCTTTATACAATAACTCTGATTGCTGGTAATAACAACCCCATTTCCTTTGAACATTCACAGGGAGCTGTATCCAGACTGCAGCACTACAGGAGAAGAAAATAGCCTAGTAGATTTTGCAGACTTCTGTGCCATTATAATCCATAAAGCATATCACCTTAAAAGGTTCAAAAGGCACCAGAGGCTCAAGATATTACATAACCATATCCTTCCCTGAGCTTAGTTAACTGTTATAGTAAATTTATTGCCAATCTGGCTACAGCATCTGTACAACTAAACGCCTTGCTAAAGAAAAATTAATTCCTCTTTCTGCCCAAGTTTTGAAAAAAATACAAATTAATATCAACAAGAAATCTTGGACCATTTTAAAGAGATTATCTCTGTCTGGGTAGTAATGCCGTTCCTGCTACTTTATAAAACATCTATTCTAAAAGCAAAAAATTACGGCGAAAGACATTTTACTGGACAAATCTGTTTTGCTGCACAGAGAGAAACAGACACAGGGATGCACTGTCATAATTACCTTTCAATTGTGGGATTAATGTGAAGCCAAATCTATGCTAATCATATCTATTCTCTCGGAAGTAACTCTGATTTGTACTGCATAGAAACACAGGGATATAAAGTGTTGAGATCTCCAGAAAATTCACACAAGTTGATGCTAAATAAGAGGCATACCTGAGAACTGAACATTCATCCCCCTGCAGAAGTTCAAGGTGACAATTCAAGATAGTTTTCTCTCATGAGGAGCATATATTATCTCTCCAAAACCTGTGCTGCGGAGAGACTTTATTGGTCTGTTAGGAATTATCCAAATAAGATGCCTTGCTCACATTCACAAAAAAAATAACCGTGCAAAGGTGTAAGACAGAATTGAAGTGTGCCTCCATGTCCAACACTTATTTTCTCTTTTGAACACACGTTCACCGGGGGAGGGGGGGGGGGGGGGGGGGGGAATCCTTGGAAAACTGGTATTAGAAATAACTGATCAGCTATTTGCTCCCCATGACTTGGTTCTGATTTTGTATGAAGATTAAAAAACGTGCTTAACGTGATGAGGACCAATGGACAGACCCGAGGAAATCTCACGGCTCTTTCCATCAACATTGATATTCTTTTTCTTCTAAGAAAGGCATTAAATTCAATGTTATTTTAGGTAGTATCCATGCCAACCACCCAGTCTGATCAATGCTACCTGTCAGTCCACAATAAACTTATTTATATGCCACAAATTGTACCATTTTTTATTGACAAAGTATTTCTGATTTATTAAGCTATATATTTGTGTTACCTATAAAATACCAAGGGCCTGATCCAGGAAACAAAAGATTTATTTGGGTTATTAGGCATCCACGCATGTCCCAGCTTTAAAGTCCTGGAGTGTAAATCACATCACACATTAACATTTGTTAAACCAGCCTCATGCTGTTTGAAAGAATAGAATAATAGAACACCTGGCTGGATACACCTTGGAGTATTTAAAACCTCTTCCTATCCTAACAGTTCCCAGGTGTCAATTCTTCCTTATAATATATATCCAGCTGCTCATGGTCAAATATATTAAATGTCCTTGGATGTAGAATCTTAAAGCTCTTTTTTTATTTACTGTATCTTATCAAATAGTAACAAGATGTTTGATCATTTGATGGCATGCTGTGTCCGCTTGGTATTGCTCAAATGTGATGTCTATTTGCGATAACAAGCCATGCAAAGGAAAGTCGTCAGCAGCACTAACAATTTAATCTGAATTCACTGTTCTGTTCTCAAGGCTCCTAACTGAGAATTAAGCCTCTCTCTCTTTTTTTTTTTTTTTTTTTTTTTTTTTTATTTAACATCAGCAGGTGATACTCATTTGACTTATCAAGTAATGTCAAACTTGCTTGGAAAGAACTTGCGAGTCACGACTCTGGGTACTATGGCTGCAATGGATATAGTATTTGAAAACTTTAGTCTAAAATGGCAAGAAGCTGAGAGGAAAATTTAAGTCATAAAAATAACAGTCAATGGTGCGAACTGAGATTCTAACTGACAATACCAGAAACTGTTAGGTACTGAGATACTGAATTGATGACCTAGAAAATAACCTAAGATTAGCAAATATCAGGTTGGTGGGGTTCCTGAAGGCACAGAGCTGAGAGTGCTTTTATTCAGCGGATTATAAAAGTGACTTTACCTTCTTTGACAATATACAGATTATTGTACCTTCCAGGCTGCATCCTGGGAAGGTCGATCAGACAATATCTTGTACACCTCTTGGTCAAATGACAGTACGTGGGATTTTAATCGCGTCTTCCAGCTGTAGGTTTCAAAGGACCCTGTCTGTCTCTCTAAAGGTGTCTCTCTATTATCCCGTGGTTATAGGAGGAAAACTGAAGCAGCACAGAGAAGCTTCACGACCCATAAAGGTTCATGAATGGTTGAAGAGGGTCATACGGTGAGTCTATGGTCTTCTATTTTTACTTTCTCAGGTGGGAGCATAAAAGGAGGCCCAGCGTAACGCAAACCAGTTCGATCACATATGCAAATGAAAGGATTTTACTGAACTTCAGTGCAACTGAACTATTACTCATCGCTGAGCTAATCAACTAGCATATGAAAATCTCTGCTTCCCAGCTGGCTCATCAAAGAGGAGTAATAGAATTTAGGGAGCCTGTAACTTAAAACACGACTTTAAAAAGGAAAAAAAAAAAAAATGTATTTTTATCCAAAATAGGAAGATTCCCAGCATGGGCTCAAGGAATGTCCAAGGCAACACAGAACGATTGGTGATGTCATGGGGTGACATTGGTTGCACACAGTCTGCCAAATCTTTTTTTTAACGTGACAAGGATGTCTGTTCATTTTGAGAAAGACATGCTCTGATGTTGATTTTTCCAGTGCAAGGTTCTTCACAGGTTTTTAGAGGAAGACCTGTTTTCATAGCAGAAGTGTTTACCCTCTAGCTTGATCACTTTGATTAAAACCAGTTGGTGTTGGGCTGAGATTCCTGAAACAAGGGACTATCCTCCATGCCGTTTAGACCACTTCTGTTCCAGGGTTGGCAGTTTGGCGCACATCACCCTGAAGAAGAATGCATTGTATTTGGAAACTTGCTAGAGTCTATCCCAACTATGAAGTTGGTCTACTAAAAAAATACCACCCATAGAAATCCATGCATCAATAAAGCAAGTTACACATAAAGTATCTCCAAACTCTATTTCTGATTTCTCCATTGGGGAACAAACTTTGTACTACTTGGCAGAGGCGTGATACCGGTGTCAGAAGAAGGGGCAGCAATATATATTGATTAATAATTTGTTGAGGATCAGGATTTCGGATATCTCATTTATTTTGTTCTCCTGTAAATTTAGCTTGCTATGTGCTTCAAAGGTCGAAAACTACCATATTGCATATGAGGCTGAAAAGTAGGGGCCTTATTTTTTTTTTTTTTTTCTACCAAGCTACGAATATAGAGCTCAGCCTTTCAATGTGTCACTGTTTTCCACATGGATGCTACAGCTATTTTAGATAAGAACATTATTGCCACTGTGTTGAATGGATTTTGTATGATGGTATAAATATGTCAATTAGTATTTCAATTAGCATCTGTGACTAATCCTGCCCACGCTGGGAAGTTACAGTTTGTGAATTTCTTACCAGAGGGTATGTTTTTGTTTCTTTATTATTCAAGTATAATGCCAGTTGACAACTTCAATAGCAGGGGATAGGACAGAAAATTACAAGGTTTCTTTATAATGGAAGATGAAGGATTGGTTAGAAGCACTTCAGTGGAAAGCGAGGTCTTAATTCTCCTGTAATGTGGAATTCTACATTCCACTGCACATTATGCATCAACTCCTACAGACTTTCTTTTAAGTACTTTAATTCTCTGAAGTTCCTATGAACTTTTGAAGGATTTTGTGATATTTGGACTTTTATCCTCTATTGCTTTCTTGATGCGATCCTGAACTAAAAATCCAGCAGAAATAAAAGGGCTGGTTTTCACTTCCACAGAAGTCACTCGATGTCACTCTGGCATGCAGTTACGTCTGCTTTTGAGGTTGCCTTCGTGTGAATGAAAACCGGGCCCGTGTATATTTTAAAATCGCATTTGTGTAAGCTCACAGAATGGTCCCATACTACAGCAGCATGTTCACATTGTGTAGTTCTCAAACAGGCTAACATCACGCTGTGAAAAAATCAGCATTGCAGTGCTTCAGACCTTATTGGCAATCTTATTTTGATGGAGAATCTAGAGAGAAGGTATTGTTATTTTTGCTCGTAATTCGTTTTGTGCCAGTAGAGGGCGTAAAATGTTTAGATCACATCATTGAAAACCATGTAGAGGATCCTAAAAGTGAATAGCTTTATAAAATTCATCAGAAAAAAAAAAATACCACCCACATCCATCACTGGCAATGAACATTTCATGGAGTTTGACTGCATTATCAGTGAGTTGCTAATACCAAGAAAGGTTATTTAAATAATTTTGCATTTCTGAACTTCAGGACTAGTTGGGAATTATTAGAGTTCACTTCCATAAAGCAGCATGTTGGGTTCTGGGATTCAGGGAAAGGAAGATTAAAATAAAGATACGGTAATGACAATGATTAGAATAAGACTGATTACATCATTATTTTGAAGCCATAAAACATGCATTAGTTGCCTTTAAATGCTTAGGATTAGAGAGACTTTATAAAAAATATTCAAAAGGGTCTGTAATTTGGTGGTTCTTCTGCAAATGGGAACAGATAATGGCTCTAATTCCACACTATATTCCCCCAGATTGACCCCTCTGTAACTGGAGCGAGGCAGTGGTAAACCAGAACCCCTGCATGTACATGAAACAACCAGTAACACAGCTGTATTTTGTTAATGGCATGTATTATATTCTCTCTGTGTTTACTTTGGCTAAGGCTTTAAAGGACACCGAATTCAACTGATTAATGGTTTAATTGCTATTGTAAAGAAAACAAATAATTAACATGAAGAGAAGAATAGAAAGTAGCTCAGCATTTCAATGAAATACAGGAACATTTTTTTTCCCTTTGGCAGGCCAATGTCTGTACACTTTTGAAGATGCTATGGGCAAGATATCAGTGAGGAGAAAACCTAATATTAGATTTATTCTAACCCTGAAGTTAGTAATGCTATCTCTTGGCCAGCATACTACTGGCAAAACCCTCCCCCCTGACCAAATTACTGAACAGTGCATGGAATTGGAAGATCTGGCTATGTTGGACCTTGATGATAAGGTCCCAGGATGGATCAACATAGCTAAAAGTATCAAGACTTTGCCAAGCCATGCTAAGCAAGAATCTGGCCAAATTGTACAGCATGATAGCACGAACTGTGCCAGAGAGACCCTGGGCTCTGCCGTGGTATTAGAATGGATAATAAGGATAAAATACAGACAGAGGGAGGAATGCGTGTGCTAGGAGATAGCTGGCCCTGCCAGAATGAAAGGCAGTGCTAACTTTTCAAACTAATATTTAAGTTTATGGATTTTGTCTCTTCCCCATTGCACTTTTCCTGCCCCCATAGTTTAACCCTGTGCTCCTCGCCTGAGCAAAGGAGTGGTATCAGGATCAAATGAATGTCATTTTCTGATTATCATGGTTGCACTTCAAAATCTGCCAAGGGCCCAAGAGCATCATTTCATGGTTGAAGTTGGAGCTTTTTCCCATAATCATTTCAGCTTCTCTGTATCCTTGTGTCCCCAAGTTGTCCTGAAATTCCATATACTAGCTGTCATGTCTAGGTAGAGCTATTTGAGCCTCGGCTCCCCTCAAATGAAAGTCTTCAGATTAGTAAATTAACGTAAGATAAAGACTCTGCCTGGATACAACATGACTCCAATATAATGGCTTAGAAAGCACCTTGGCAATTCAGGGAGTCATCAGGTCATGTAAGGCTGATAGAGCGGCAAACATGGTAACTCCATAAAGTCTTTGATAAATAGCCAGAGAACCAATCAGTCCAGTCAGCTGTTGGCCTTGATAACTGAAAACAACCCTTAGACTAGATAAATGTGTGCTCTGGGACTGGGCTAGCATTTTATGGCAACAGGCTCTAGAAGCAATTATGCAAAGAAAGCAAGTCCTATACACTTGCGTGGAGCTCTTGGGAGCACCACTCTCAAGGGTTTCCCACCCATTCCCCTGCCATCAAGATCCCTGCCTCCAGCACGCTTGTGACAAGTGCAAGAAGGCATAGCTCTGAGCAGCAAGGTTCTTCTAATTAGGCCAGGTCCAAAATCCCATTGCCCCTTTCCAGGGCTTAACTCAAGTCCCACTGAAGTCCATGGGACTGCTTACAGTGACATCCATAGGCTTTTGATCAAGACTCCGTGTCCTGCATCTCCAAAGCATGATTAAGAAATAATATGCAAGTGTTTATGGGCAGCACTAGCAAACTTATGGACTAATCCAAAAGGTAACAAATAGAACTTAATTCACATTTTTAATTATTTTTTTTTGTAGGGAGTCCAAAAATGATCTGGAAATGCGAGTTGTGGGTAGTTATTGTGTTATCATTTAAATGTCACGTGACATGAAACAGGGATATCTGTGAACTATGGTCAGAGTTAAGGATGCAATTTCTGTTGTACTCAGAGCTGTGCGAGTTGCACTGGGAATGCCCTGTGTAAGGAGAAGCGTGCATCTTGTTCAAACGTTGTTTGGAGTTTGTATATTAATTTCCTGGTGTTTGAATGGGCAAGAGGGCTGTGAGCAACTTTCACTTTTTCCTAACGTGCCTTTGTATTTTGAATTTTCTGAGGATTTTGGTTTTAAATTGCTTGTAATATGTTAGTTGCTGATACACAGCTTCAAAACCACCCTCATACTGAGATGCAGTGACGTTTTGCACACAGGTCATTAATATACCGTCTTCCTTATTATCTCTGTTGAAGAGGGCTTTTGCTAATGTTGACTACAATCTCCTTCTGCACCAGGCAATTTGTATTTAAGATTGCTGGCACAGATTTGTTCCCTTTATAATTGTACGATTTCCAGAATTATTAGATCCTGATAAAAAGCATCCTATTCTCAGGACAGAATTTGAGCATCTGTTTTCATAGGGATGGACATAAACACATGCTTAAATGTTCTCCTGAACTGATGATTTGCTCTCTTGGGTCATCGTCTTCTGTTATTAAACGTGAGCATTTCTCAGGCATGAACCCCCTGGGGATTAATGTGGTTTTTCATTGCGTATTCCCACTGGTCAGGATTACTTATGCTCCTTGTCAGAAGCACAGTATGTTCATGGATAATAGAAAGTTTAGCTTTAAACGTTTATGCCTTTTGGTAGGACCCAGCAGAATATTTGGTCTATTTTATAATGACCTTCTTGATGTTGAAATCTGGACTGTCAGCTGATTTTCCATTGCTAAGTGCTGCTCTGTAGTGTTAAAGCACCTTTCCATGGTTGTATAGGAAATGCTGTATAATAAGTATCAGAGATGATTAATTGCTTGATTGGCTGAACTGAGGAAGAAATCTCCCCAATACTTCTATTCCCCATATTTCATAAATCACCTGCACATGATTAATAGTTATCTTAACAGACTTTCAGTTCTACCTTTAAAAATCACCATTGCTTTTGGAAATAAGCATTGTATTGAGGCGGAAATACTTATAACAATATGGTCCCTGGTCAGTGCTTTTTAGTGTAATGATGTATCAGCGAATATACCAGGGGGCTAAGAACAAGGGAGGAAGGGTAGCCTGCTGGTTCTACTCCTTCGCTCTATAGCAAGTGAAGAAATCCCCTGAGGATACAGATCACATTTTTGGGTGAGCTGCTTTTTACAGATCCATGAACAATTTTTCACGGATCAGAATTTACTAACCGTGTCTTCTGCCTGCAATGGCTGCCCACAGCTTTTGTTTCCTGCTTCCTAACCCTGAACAACAAGCAGTACAGAAGAATATTTTGTATATGGATGTATCTTCTAGCTACACCGCCCATTTACAAGCTTATTATGAGGGCAAAAGAAAATTAGAAAAAGCAGAAGTTTGTCGTGCTAACATACAGCATCACCTCTCCCCTTTTAGACCCTCACTATATTCTGGCACCAGTGTTAATACCAGCTTCCCTTATAACGTGGGCTGCATTTGTACAGAAATGAAGCTGTTAACCCAGATTGTTTGGTACTTAGCAAACATTTAAATAATCTGATGGACAGTCTATTTGCACAAGAGAAGAGCAGAGGAAAACCAGAATATTGTAATACAATTCACGTTATCAGATTAGGAAAGAGTCACGTGACCTTTCAGCTAGCCTTTAGGACAGCTGTAAAATTTGTGTGCCTTCTGCGGGAGTGCCGGCCTGCTCTAGGCACCAAAATTATATCTGCTTCAAGTTTCAGCTCAGGGTTGTCAATTAATAGCTAATAGTAAGAACTGATCCTTGTATTTCATAGACAAGACGATTGCAGCCAGAAATTCTGTGAAAAGAACTTGATATGTATGAAATGGATCATATTTTAATGCCCAATATCCACTGATGTTCAAGTTATCCTCGCACACTGGTATTAAAATGAGAGCATTTGCTAACACGCAAGCATTGAGCTGGCCAAAATATAAATACCCAGACCTAAAAACACGCATTGTTGTTCACTCTCCTCCACTTACTCATTCTGGATAGCCAAACGGTCACAAATTTCAGAAGGCGGTGTGCTCATCCCTTTCTCTCTCCCATAGCTCCCAGATTACTTCTACATTTCCATCTAACTACACATGAAATCATCCCACCATTTTAATTTTCTCTCTCCATGATTTCGAGATATTACATGCAGTCACTCGGCACTTAACCTTCCCATTATCATTTTCTTTCTCTCTCTCTCGCTCTACCAGTACAACTACGCATAATTCACATTCTTTCATCATTTTCATATTAGTCATTCTGGCCTGATCCAGGCCCTGCCAACCTTAGGAAAATTGGCATCCATGTAACTACGCTGATGTAGCTATCACACTGGTGCAAAACCCCGGAGTAGCCAGACTGCCCCAGAGCAAAGCAGGGTTCACGGTGGTACAATTTAATCCAAGAACATAATTAATTGTCTTAATAGCCTCTCATTAGTCTTCCCTGCCTTTCAGTCTCCTCCTTACAAACACCAGTTTAGTTTACCTGATAGTAGCAAGCATGGGAGCACTAGGGAGACAAAGGAGTGGAATTTCAAAGGGCAGCTTTGACAATAACTGATCACATCCAAGTCAATAGGAGCCTTACGGTGGCCTTCAATAAAAGCAGGATCTGGCGTGGGCTCAGTGCTTTTAAAATCCACCCCTGCTGTTGTGTTTAACATAATTACTCCTGGCTTTATTATGGGTTGAGTTAGACAACAGGGTGGCAAAAACATGGCTGGCTTCAGGGACTGTGTTCACACTAGCACTCCTGCCATTGCTTGCAACATTAGTGGGAACAATGATACAAAATGATTTTGTGGACCAGATCATCTAGGACTGCAGCTTGTTTTCCTGGCAGCTCCCAACGCTGCTACTTTACAGAGCCTCCAGGTCCCCCTGTGCTATGAAAAATTAACATGCTATCTTGTCAAGATCTGTGCGTTCAGTCTACCAATCTAGTTACCCCAGTTGGCCAAAGCGAAACTTGGTTTTGATGAAGAATGCATGGTCTGTTCTTCGTACATGTGGAAGTAAATGTTCTTCCAGATAGAAAAGACTATGATTTAACTAAGAGATGTTTTAAGGAAATTGCAAAACTAAATTAACATTGCAAAAAAAATGGGGATTTGCCACTGAGTGGGGGTGTCTACAGAGATGCTTTCTGCGCAGCAGACTAATTTGCCGCGTAGTAAACCATCACCTTCTACATGTGCTGCAATTAGGTTGCGGTAGAAAAATTTCCTGTATTGCCAGATAAGCCCATCAGATACAAGTGGTATCTGGCAGCACAGTAAATTACTGCCCTTAAACGCATGTGTAGACAATGGCGTTGGGATTAGTTTACTCCGGCTCAAACTGAGCCAGAGTATATTCAGTCACATTGATTGCATGTGTTAAAAGTACCCGTTGAGTACATCTAGAGCCCTGTGTTTATTGTGGGTAACTTAGCACTTTTATATCGCTTTACATTCACCTGTCTCAGAGTTTTACAAAACAAGTGAATGTGTATCATCCTTACCCACCATTGTGCGGAAGGGGAGGCTGATACTTAGAGGCCCAAACTTTCCAAAGAAGCTTCATGTTTGAAAGGCCAGGTTGAAACTGGAGGCAATAGATTAATCTCCCTCTGAAACATCAAAGAATAGTTGCTGTCAATGACAGGAGCCTGGACTAGACAGATCACTAGCCTGGTGCTACGTTTCCATATTGACAATGAGCTACAGTGAAGAGAAGAAACAACTCAGACTTGGGAATGGGGGTGGGTGGAAGGGGTATTAGTCTTCTGCATATGGAGGGGAGACAGTGATAGATAAGGGGCTGTTGGCAAGGGGCATGTGTAATTTAAGGTTGTTGGTAAGAAAATTTGTGGGTGTATTCCCGAGGAAGTTTCTGGCAGCTCTGAGCGTATTTGTCATTGGAGGCTAGTGCAATCTTTGAACCTGAAACAGTAGGCTTTGTGTATGGTGTATAGGAACAGCCAAAATTCAGATCCCTTCTAGACCCGGTATGTTCTGTGCATGCTGCATTCTGTAGGCTCCATTGTGCAGGCTGCATGATACGACGGGTATAACTTGAGATGTATTGGGTTAATGGGGGGTTTTGCTCAATGCACAGACGACACTGGGGACAGTGTTTTCAAAAAGTTTGGTCTCATTAAACTTGAGAGTTTCTTAACTGATCTACTTAAGTACTGTGACACTCATCAACTTCCAGCTCGCACTGAAAGTAGTGCTCATAAATCAAAGCTGCTATTTTTTTTGGTTGTTGCATGTTTACTTTTATCCTTAGCATGCATTAATTAGAAAGCACTATAGCAAAAGCATTCTTTCTCAGATAATTTCTGAGATGTGTCCAAAGTGACACTTGAATGACAAGCAGAAATGAACAAATCATGAAGCTAGGAGGAATGCTGGGACGGTCGATTAAGTTATTTTTATTATTGAACATGTTTATTGCAGTAGTGTCCAAAAGCCCCAGGTGGCAGGAGGTGCTGGATGAAAACATGGCATCCAGCCTCAAAGAGGTTACAGTCTGCAAATGGGTCATCCTCAACAAATAAACTTTGATACAGCGCAAATGAACAGCAAAGTTAAATCACATGCTAAAATACTAGCTCTTTTTGTTTGGGTTCCCACGCGGTGAGGGATCGCTGTGATTAGTAGGCCCTTTTGAATAGCCTTTACATGGGGTACAGTCAAATTTTTGTTCTCACTATGGGACTCTCTAATAGACAAAAGAGTGTCAACAAAAGACAAGCAGGGCTGTTTTTTAAAAGGTTTATAGGGGTGGGCGTTCCCCCACTAAAATAGAGGTGATTTTTATTGTGGGAAACTTCAAATGACTTTATAAAATACGTTTTCATCAAAATTTCAACAACTTCAGTAACCAGTCAGGCATGAACAGCAGGAATATTCTTTCCATTGGCAATCTACATGCAAGACTGATGTGAAGGTTTCCATGCTAAAAACCATAGGGCAAAGGGCTGTAGTCTCACCTGAGTTCATAAGCCTAAAATAGAGAGGCATGGTGACTAGGATGGGAGAACTGTAAGGAAATAACCCTGTTAGTTATGATTTAAACACAGTAGGTAGCAATCTTCTCCCCCTGACAGTACAGAATCAGCACTAGTGATGTGTTTTTGGCCACCCGAAGAGTTTGTATTTGAATGATTTGCTGCAAAACCGTGACCTGCTGGTCACCCGCATCCATTAGGAGATCTCATGAGACCCTGTGCAAGAAGAAGGAAGTTTAGGCACACGAAGTGAACACATTTTGCCAACTTAAAACTCACCCTGTAGTTTTAATGAGAGAACTCCTTTTTTACTTCCCCTCCTCTAAACAGTCTGTTTCGTGTCGTGCAGTTGGTGCCTTCCATCACAGAGCTGGCTGCGCTTCAGTCCTGGACAATTCTTACTAATAGGAATTTATCAAACTATTGGACTGGAACAAACCTCAAGAGATCTTCTATGTCCAACCCCCTGGACTAAGGTAGGATCAAGCAAAGATCTGTCAGGGCTGACATAGGGATGTTCTTTAAAACCTCCAAGAGAGGAGACTCTATAACATCCTTATGACATTCAGTATTTTGCCATCCTAAAACAACATTTTTGCTAACAGCCAACCTCAATCCTTGCTGCAAATGAAGCTCCTCTGCTTTCACCAGCGAATGAGGAAAAGGATCGAGCACCATTTTCATAACAACTTTTATATTCTGGAAGACTTAGGGCCTTGCTATATGTTAATTGTAGGGGCTCCTGGAGCTTTTAACCCCTGGATTGTGCACACATTAACACTTGAGACTAGTTTTAAGCACTCTTTAAGTGGCTTAAAGTTATGCCACTCCAAGGCAAGACTATCTCTGATCCATGTTACACTAATGTAGCCACTCTAGACTACACCTTACTATAAATGCCCCTCCTTGCCCCGGATTGGACTCATCCCTGCCCAGCACCCCATATCCCTGCTCACCATCCCCCTTGCTCACCCCTTCCACTTACTTGTGGCTGACAGTGCTGTCTGTCCCGAGGAAGTAGGCAGGTAATGGTTAACCTTACTGCCCAACCCTAACCACTGGTGATGCTCTCTGGGCCCTGCTCAGGCTAGAGATGGGGGGGTTAGGCAGGTGGGTTAACCCTTACCTGCCTGCTCCCCTGTGACAGGCAGCACCGGGGGGGGTTACCTTTCAATCCTCCAGGCTCCAGCTGGCCTGAAGCATGACTGCTCCTAAAAGAATGTTTTTGCCAAGAGCCAACCTCAGACCTTGCTGCAAATTAAGCTGATCTCCCCCTTTGCTTTCACTAGTGAACGTGGAGAATGGCCAAGCACCATTTTCACCATAACAGCTTTTGATACTTTTTGAACAGCTTTTCACCATAAAAGCTGCACCATAACAGCTATTACATTCTGGAAGGCTTTTATCCTCTCCTTGCTCTTGCAGTCGGTCCTTATTCCACTTGGCCTAAGAGCCACGGTTGCTCACTACACTATGACCCCAAAAAACCGTTGATGGGTGTTAATGCTAGCTCAAGTCTGGAGCAATCTCATGTTCAGGCCAGCAGAGGCCTGAAAGGGTAAGAATCCTTCCCGTTCTGGGCATCCCCTGGTTGCCTCCCACACCCCACTCGAGGCTTCCCCACGTTGCTCTCCGGGTTTGCCTTTGCTTGCTTGTGTGCCTGTTCTGTCTGTCCAAAGGGAGCAGGCAGGGAAGGGGTAACCTGTCTGCCCACTGACACCGCTGCCAGGGCTGCTGCTCCACTGGGGGCAGAGCCTGCCTAGAGAGGGGCAGTGGTGGTGGTGGCAGAAGTCAGGCATGCAGGTTAACCCTCCTTGGCCTGGCTCCCCAGGAGGGAGAGCAGGGGCAGCAGCAAGTGGAGGTCTGCGGTGCTGGGAGGCGCAGTGGGCCTTATCTGGCCCAGTGGGGAAGGGGAGTGGGTGGCATGTTTACACTACACCTTCTTGTAACATGGATCCAACATCATCCTGCCCCGGTGGGGGTGGGGGTACTTTGAGCTGCCTAACAAGTCCTTACAACCAGTTCCAGGAGCTGATGTGCAAATAGTGCAGGGGTTACGTGGCACTCTTCCCCATCCCCAACTGTCGCGTCTGGACAACCCAGGTCCAAAACTACCGCGGCACATGGGGCTCTGCTGAAGCACAAGGGCCAACTTCCTGGTTTCCCAGTACCTCCAGCGGAGACCTACCTGTGGTGTCCCAGTACCTCCAGCACAGACCCACTTGCATGACTTCCCATTACTTCCAGCGGAGACCCACCTGTGGCATCCCAGTACCTCCAGCACAGACCCATTTGCCTTCCCAGTACCTCGAACAGAAACCCACCTGCATGACTTCTCATTACCTCCAGCACAGACCCACCTGCACCACTTCACAGGTGGGTCTGTGCTGGAGGCACCAGGGCTTTCCAGTACCTCCAGCAGAGCCCCACCTGTGGCTTCCCATTACCTCAGCAGAGCCCCACCTGCGTGGCTTCCTCTGCTGCACCCTGGGCTCTGGCAGAGGGCAAGGCAGGGCAGAAAAGGGGGTTGCCCTTATCGATACAAAAAACCCAGGGCTTTCTACCGGAGCCTCCTTCGTGACAGCGGCTCTTCTCCGGGAGCCAACAACAGGACACCCCCCCACCTCCCACTCCCCCCTCCCCAGGGTTTACAGCTCAGACAGGAGCCGGGGTTTTCACCGACTCCCTCCCGTGCCTGTCCCCGCCCCGCGCTCCGCGGCTCGCAGACGCCCAGCG